CTTAGAGTGATTTAAGAGCTTTTGGACACTCTTCCAGTACAAAAACTCCATCATCTTCTTCTTCATCACTGCTTCTCTACCTCTCCACCTTCGATCGGTTTGACCGGTCTGGTTTAATTATACTACAAAATTTTGAAAATTTCAGAAAGAAAACCGCACAATTTGCCCATCTCTAAAGAAACCCAACAAATTTTCCATTAAATTAAAAATCAATTGCTTTTTTATTTCTAAAAGACAATATTTTCATACCATTTTACCCTTTGCTAATCATTGTTTTTACAAAATCGACCTGTAAGAAATTTTAACCGACAAAACCTAAACCACAAATCCACCTTCTCTCCCGCTGATCTGCAACTCTCTTTTGCCGCTTCTCCCGTCTCTCCGGCCGATGTGCTGAAAGCCTTCGCTACACTTGGAACATCGAACCTCTCAAGGTACTCTCTCTGTCTCTCTCTCTCTCTCACGCACACACACGGGACATAAATGAAGATTCAATTTAGCGAAATTGAGAAAAAATTCATGTATTAGCTGCTGTAATTTTTCAACGGAGATTTAGTTTGCGTTGATTAAGATAATTCATCTGCATCACTTGAAAATCTCAAACAAAATAAAAAACCGGTCACTTGATATCTCAAAAAAGAAAAATCTTCAAATTTGTATTTGAAGTCTTGTTCTAGCATTGAGGGTATTCAATTACTGTAATTTACACTTTGTCTTATGCCGACCACCCTCAATATGATTGACCCAACATGGCAAATTTAGGTTATTTTGTTGTTATGTGTCAAGGCTTTCCCTTGCCATGCCATATTGCTGATTTCAAAATGATTGACCCCTGAACTGTGCAGTAATTTAGAGGGAATAACATGCTCATAGAGTATTAAGAAACGGTCCCTGTTATTTGTAGCGTCATTCACTGCTCTAATTGAGTGAGGACTTCACGACTGCATCGTGTCAACCTATTCCCTAGCCATGAGCCTGTAAAGATTTACAAAAACCTTGTAAGAACCAGTGAAGAGGCTTAAATAAGTGTAAGGGAATGTCTCTAGTCTTTTAAATGACTTCTGATTATCTGTTGGACAATATGTTTATTTCTTTCACTTTCTGATGCTGCATATCACTGTTTGGGCTCGTTTGGGAGGGATTCTAAATAGGCCAAAAAGCATTTCTATGGAGAATCACTTCTCCAAATAATCACTTTAAGTAGTTTTAAGTGATTTTATGGAGAAGCATATGGGAGGTGCTTCTGCCCAT